TAGAAACTTGTTCATCGATTGAAATATTTATGATGAATGAAAATGAGACCATCTTAGAATTGTATGACAGATTTACTAACATTATGGATGATCTAGAAGTTTAGGATGAAAATTTCTTCAATAAGACAAACAAGAAGATCATGATTTCACTATTTCCATGGTGAAGTCTTGTTAATGCATCATCCTTGTATGTTAATCAAGATAAAATGATGGTAGATGTCACAATAACTAATTTTAGAAGTAATAAATCGGATAAAAAAATGTTCAAATGATTCTTTAATTACTTTTATGAATTTTTATTTAAATTTACATTATTTTGAATTTATTTTGGTTGAGATTCTAAATTATGTTCCAACATGATTGTCTAAGGTGGATAACCTTGAAGGGTTTTTTCTTATGAGTTAATTATGCGTTATTAAAGTGATAATTCAGTATAATCAAGAGTACATTATTTTCTGCGATTTTTTTGAATTTTAATTATGTATTTTATGAGATGCAATATTTGTGAAGTGTATGCTTCATGAGCCACATCAGTGCACAGTTACGTGCATGGTGACTTGCTGGACGCCACCTCAATTTTTTGTTTTGATGACACTAAAAACTAGTAATGATGGTTAGGAAACAAAGCAGGTGGAGGAGGAGGGGACATCATCTTTCCTCTCTCATATTTTCCCCTTTCTTCTCTCTCCTATATTTTCCACTTTTCGTCTCCCACGTTTTCCCACCTATCTCTCCCGTTTCCCCCTTTCTCCCTCCCACGTTTTCCCACCTCTCTCCTGCTCTCTCCCATTCTCTCTCTCGTTCTCCTCTCTCCTTTTCTCTCCTCTCTCCCGTTCTCTCCTTCTCTCCTGTTCCCCTCTCTCTCCCATTCTCTCCTTCTCTCTCTCTTTCTCTCCTGTCTCCCGTTCTCTCGTTCTCCTCTCTCTCCCTTTCTCTCCTTTTCTATCCCGTTCTCTCCTTTTCCCTCCCGTTCTCTCTCTCTCCCTCTCATTTCCCCCCATCTTTCTCCCTTCTCTCTTGGTTGGGGCGTTCTCTGGATAACAGATGGAAGAAGCCAAGCCCTGCTCCCTCTTATTCTCCTCTCTCCCGTTTCTTTCTTTGTTGGGGCGTTCTCTAGGCGACAGGCAAAGGAAGTTAAGGCCTGGGATTCCTTTTTGGATTTCTGACATAATGAAGGAATGTATTTTGGAATTAGAGCCCTTTGTCTCTCAGAATATGGTCTATTTCTTTGCAAGGGGAAATTTATGCGAACCAATCTACTTTGATTGAAAATTTTAAATTTCAACCCCCTTCCTATGGTCTCTCTATTCGTTGGCAATGCTGATTAAAGCCCAATCATTGCTAGAGCATTATCAGCATATCTTTGTGATATTCTCCTTTTGTTGTTAACAAAAAATGAGAGAAATAACACAAATGAAACACATGTCATTCAAGGGGAGAACGTTGAAGTTGTTAAAAGGATGGGGAAAGAAAAATAGGGAAGCATAGAAGAAAGGGGTGCATAGAGTGAGGGGGAGAGAAACTATAAAAAAAAACTATTACACTCTTGTGTTGTTTATGATTGGCTTCAATGTTTTGAATTCTAAATTTGTGGAATGTAATGCTTAGACTTAGCTTGAAATATTCTACTTTTTAATTTCACTGTCTGAACTAGTAACATAAATAGTAAGTATTACATTGACCTATATTAAATTCTAAATACACACACATTCTTAAATGTTTTGAATTGTATATAAAATATTTTAAACAAAGAAACTACATTTGAATTGTACGTTTTTCCCTCACCAAAAAAGTAGTCTATTTAAGTATTAAATACATGATGTTTTGGTGATGACAAATAGTTAAAAGATCAATGAAAATATTAAATTATGTTTAACTACTTGGTATAAGGCTAAACATGAAAGTGTTATACCTAATGTTCTTAAATATATAGATGATCTTTCATTAGCTATATTTATGACTAGTATTGTTGAATTCGTAAATCTAATTGATTTCATTCTATACAATCATAATCTTGCATCTTATTGTGGAAACTATTAATATTTAAAGAATATAAGATAATTATAAAGTAATGATTGATGCAGTCAAATAAATAAGCATCATTGAAGAAAAATATGGACATGAAAGCTTGCTAAGTCTACTTTGTGCTCATGGTATTAGATTATTATTTTCAAATAATTTTGATATTGAATTAATTGATGATTTTAAAAGTCAAGGAAAATATCAATTTATCAAAATAGATATGATTAGATCAACTTAACCTCCCTTCATGATCTTTGTAAGACCCAAAACTACTATGATATTATAATTTTCTATGTGATTAATTTTTGTAGAGTTTAAAGTTCTATTTTTTAATATTAAGATATAATCGTAATAAAATAATACTTTTACGTTATATAAAATCAATATTACAGTAAAAAGATGACATGTATTTAGATAATAACCATTGCAAACATTAGATGAACATTGGGATTGAACACTTCTAATTTTAAATTATTTTCATATATGAAGAAAAGGAGTCAGCTTGAGGAGATAACTCAATTATCACAAAAAAATAATGTAAAAGAATCGAGGATATTGAGTATCTAATTTAGAAATGGCAAACCAATGTGGTAAGCCTAATGTGGTGGTCTCTTAGAGACTTAATTTTTTAAAAAATATATAATTTAACATATTGATTTATCATTCTATTCTCATGGAGTTAGGACGGCCAGAGGGAGATTATACAAGAATTTTTTTTCAAGAGATATAGGCACAATAAAATGCATTGTCTTTCTCATATCATAGAAAGGATTCAATTCAAGAGTTGATCTACCTTATGTGTAAAAACCCAAGCTTAAAACAAACCTTCTCTTGATCAAAAAATTATATTGTTTCATCCCTTGTATTGGGTTCTAACAAATAGATTAATAATCTTTTTAGGTACTCATTGTGGATACTAGAAACTTTTGAGATCAACAATTTTAATTTTACAGTTTTTTAATGTTTACATTTTTTTCTTAGATTATGGGATAATTGTTATTATATCCATTATTTTCCTGTGAAAACATCTTGGATGTTTCATTAATCTTTTATAATGTCTTTGATATGTGAGCATTAAACATGATTCAATACATACAAATTTGGCTTCAGATTCATTAAAATCCTGAGTAGTTTAACCAAAAAAATTGTGAGGTCTTAATCAAAATATTTTGAACGCTACTATGTTCTATTATACAGAATGAATGTATGACTTCATTTGACCTCACTTCATTAGACCTTCTACTAAGGTCAAGTGTTGCCTCCCATTGATGAAAAATAATTACATAAACATGACTGCATTCAATCTACTATTTATCTCTTCTTAAGGCCATTGATTGTTAAGCTACACCTTATTTCCTAGCGTGCCCAAGCTTGTTTTATGGGAGGGCTTCATATCCAAAGTATTCTTGATTGGCCTTCTCCCTATTTCTGCCGCCATTCCCAATCTTGGTCATTTGGCTTCCCCCTACCTTGCCTCCGTTCATCATCGCATCGTTCCTCTTCCTCTCAATCTAGCACCTCAGATATCTATACTCAATCTAGCATCTTTCCTTTCTGATTTCCCAATGCTGTCCATTTCTTCTGGCTAGTGTAAAAATGATCCAAGTGATTTGAAGGAGGTAGCAGCAGTGGCGATGCTAGAGCATCAAAAGATATTGTGGTGATAGATAAGATAATGATGGACAGCAAGATTAGGCAAGGGTCAGAATTCTTCCAAATTGCATTGAAAACATCTAATATTAGTTAAGATGAATATTCTTCTCAGGATCAACCAGTTTCTTACATTAGTTAAGATGAATTTTAATCTATTGTTCTGCAAAGGTGAAGGTGTGATGAATGAGAGAGAGAGAGGGAGTTGATTGAATGAGTAGGATGAACATCATTAATCCCTACAATTGTCATTTCTTCATTTTGTTGACACATTATAAGAGTTATTTCGTAGTAGGTCTTGTGAAGGTAGATTCAACTAGACCTTAAAATATCTTAATAATCATGCCTAGGAGACCATTCATAAAATCAGGCTTATTATTAGCCATTCATGTTTATAATTAATACAACATTATCAGACTGTAATTTAGAATTCTTGCAAAATGGGTATATGAGAACATTGATGCCATGTAGAAACCATGGATTCATGAACTTAAGAAAATGTTCGAACATTAAATGAAATACCCTCATGAATATAACTTAACAAGGTCTAGAAACTTGGATTAGTTTTAAAACTATGCATTTCTATTATTTATTTATTGATCCATTGGCAGCAGGTAATGAGTAGGACTGTTAAGCTTGGACTCGCAAATACTATAAGGTAATTTTTTTCACAAAGAATCCTTCCCTTTTAAGATTTTACTAAAAACATCTTGCCTAGTGGGGTAATTACTATGATGACGAATTATGAAGTTCTTTGGCATAAGAAAACTTACTATAAGTGACAATGATACATTCAAAATGTTTTTAGATCTAAGTGACGCTAATTATTGAACTTTATAAACCGGCTTGCTTGTTAGCGAATGTTTGAGGTCGAACCTGAACGGGGTCACACAAGGAATAGTCGTAGGTTGAATAATATATAATATGATTAAATTATGTTGACTACTTTTCTGGTCGCTAATTTATTTTTTTTAAAGTATTGAATATTTCATAATTAGGACTTTGATCGATACTTGAACTAGCTACGTTGACCTCTTCGTTGTGTGTCGTGATGGGCTGTCGTCAAGTGAGCGCCCCAGGCGGGTTACCCATCCTATCCTGGATAAACGTTTGGTTCGCCGAGCAACTTATTGCGCTTCTCTCGGGATTCGACCGGAAATTCACATCCTTGATCCTCCAGCAGACGTCGGTGGGTTTTCTCTATCCCTATTTTGACCGGAGGATCACGTGCTTGCCTTTGGTCTAGTCGGTAGATTGAGAGGCAGCCGCTGGTCTACGCGCTTCAGTCAAACCCGACGGCTCGTCCCCCACCCCACTTTCGGCGTATATTATAATCCCATCTCAGCGCGCCGCCTTCTCCGAGGCTCGTGTCCCCCCGTTGGCCACTTCAACAATGTAGAACGATGGGGATTTCGGCGGGTACGTCGTCGTCTAGTTATCACGCCAGCTACCGTGCCAACTTCGTCGGCGAGGACGCCACCCTCTCCTTCGGCCGGGACGGCGGCGATGTGGTGCTCGGGGACACCGACGGGAGCCTCGTGCGGCACACTGACAAGGTGCGTGCGTGACCGTCGTCGTCTTCCTTCTTGACGGCAACATCGTTTTCCACGGCAAGAAGGCGAAGATCATCTGGCAGAGCTTCGACCACCCTACGGACAGGATCCTCTCCTCGTTGGGGCAGCCGCTCATCGGCTGCCCCTCCGACGCCGACGACTCCAAGGGGCCTTACTGGCAGGTACTGGTGCCCAAGGCGGCAAGTCCCTGAAACACGGCGGATGGGGCGATCTCGGCTCCGTCAACTCGGTCACCTTAAATGCCAGTCCCGAGGCTGACGACTGCCACGCATTAGGGCCTGGCATTGGTCCTCAAGCCGGAGAACACGTTCAGCGACGCCGGCAGCTGTTACGTTGTTCATCAACACAGGCCGTCTCGTCATTGATGACAGCTTATTACGTCCGATCTAAAATTGATGTTGAAGTCATTATCTATCTCATACATTATATGCCCTACACTTGCGAGTGCACACGTGTGAGGTTAGTGAGAGTCTTTGTGATGACTTCATAACGGGGGCACCTAGTTTTATCAACAAGCCCACATCAGTGGCATAAGCATTGCATGCTGCTTGCGGCATCTACGGCATATGCGGCATACATTATGGAAGGTTGGATTAGAAGTACTATGAGCAACATCTTGTTATCTCAAAACAAAAGTGATAAAGGAGGCACTTTGATGTAAAAGTCATGCATTCACTATTGTAACTAGATAATTTTTGTAGTAATAACGGCCAATGTTTGATATTTAGTTTTCGTAGATGACCTATGTATTATCGATTGTTTCTTTGCTTTTTAAAAAACCAATGTCTCCAAAAAAGTGCAAAACTTCGTGATTGATTAACTGGAATTGAAACTAGCAGTCTAGTTCATTTCCAATAATTTCTTGATTTATTAAGAGGATGAGGTAAGGTACAATAACCTCTGACTAGGAGTTGACTTGAGATATCGAAGTATACCATATATTGTTAGCTGGGGATGTTGGGGTTGATCCATAAATTGACTCAATCTGATCTCCTCCACTATTAGGGCATCTCCGACATCATTTCAAGTTCCGTAGGCCTGTAATCCCAAAAACAATGTGATTATCTTCTTCTCGCGAAAGAATTCTTCTCACTAGAAATCTTCTTTTGGCCTGAGATAACCAAAACTCTAATGGCGTATTCAACGTCTATGATTATCATTGGCATCAATTTACATTGGATGATGCATTCAACTTCTAGAGAACGAAGATTGATTTGTGGTGCTATAGGGCTCGAGGCTGGTGAGGACTGAGAAATCAATCAATGACATTTTTCTCAGCCATGTTCTAAGAAAAAGTTCTTAAACGCAAATTTATCATCCTAAAGGTAATAATTCCCATTGGTGGTGTGTTCAATACAAAAGAGAATTTAATTGACATATCTATACAATCTCACAAAAGATCATTTTGTCATGTGGTGGAAAAAAATGGGACCATTAATTAATTGAAATCCCTCTTAACTTTTTTGAGATTTCTTATGAAGAATTTGAAGAAAGAGTACTAACTGAAATTTATCAAGAAATTTTATTTAAAATATAATAGATAATCATATTATTATTTCAAATCTATGATGAAAAGAGAGTGATATCTAAATTGATTGATTTGGATATTGAACAATCAACAAATTTGTCAACAAATTCGATTTTTTTTTCACATATAAAGTAATAACGTTACTTGACACCACAAACCATAATGATCTCATATAAGTTCTGTGACACAAAAAATAAATCTTGCATATTTGAATGATGCATAAAATGAGGACTCAATGGATGGTCTATATCAAAAAAAAGATGAAATTATACAATTTACAAATTGTGACGTCATTTAAATAATAGTAGAATTCTTAAACAAATGTATGAAAAATAATATTTTGTAAGAGTATAGATACATCAATCAAATTTTCCTTTGTATTGAGCACACCACGAATGATAACTAATATATCCTGGCAATGCGAAATCTGCTCTAGGGTTTGAGAACTTGTAATCGACGATGAAAATGAACAAAAAGTTTCATTTTTTTTCTTCAGAACCCATGCCACTTCGTCTTTTTCCCTCCTAGTGCCTCCTCGTGTCCACCCAAACACTCTCATCCAGGTCTCCAATGCCTCCAACTCCGCCTTCATCAGGTGCTGAAGAAGCCCCCTCTTCCCCGCCTAACCTGTCAGCAGCCGCAAACTGCACCATGATCTCTTATCCATTTCGGTCCGTTTCATCTTGCTTTAAATTATGATCGCATCTTTTTATTCACAAAAGCTCGGAAAGTACGACATCCTCTAGTAGACATCAAACCAGGAGGTCTTAAGACAGTCAAATGTTTGACTACTATTACTAGTAATACCCACGATTATATATACACACATGATTTGCTTCATTTTCAGTATATTTGAGTAGACTGACCAGACGCCCTCGTTTTATACGCTAGCAATGACACGCCTGTCGTCGAGACTTTGACCCTGCAGGTGGGGTTCTCTTTTGAAGACTGGAGCTTACTGGCCGGTCGGGGGGCCACTGGCCAAGTGGCCACACATGGGATGTTGCTACTGGCTTTGACTTGGATTGGAGGAAGCGGGCGAGAAGAAGAGAAGAAGACAGACGCAGGGCCAAAGGGCTGGTTTAATACCCGTTCAGTAGTAACTCGGTTAACCACGGCTTGGTCCCACGGTCTAATTTACCAGGCTTTCAGTTTGATTACACACACATACACACCCAGACTCTCTCTCATGGGTTGACTTTTCTTAATTTGGTCTTCAGTTGGTGACAGAGAGGTACGCTAGGCGATCTGTGTCCCACTATTTGACTGTTTTTGTTGATCAAATCAATACTACCTTATACTACATTTATCTCTGACGGGGCATCATGAGACTCGTTCGGCCGTCGGAGCGTATCCAATTCGGATAGCGCTGCCGAGCCCATCCCTTTTGAAAGCGCTTCGAAGAGGCCGAGCCTTTTTCGTTCTAGACACGGTCCACGACAGCGACGGGGGTGGGAGACGGAGCTGCTCTCGACGTCGCCCACCGCCGCCGGCGAACCTTCCCCCCGCCCGGCTCGGAGGATCTCGCTCCGCCGCCTCGCCCCTCTGCGTGTCTGCTCGCCGGACAAAAGTAGCTCACGGGGGCGCAGATATTTTTGATGAGAGTGGGAGGGGAGACGGGAAGAGTTTGCGGCGCAGATATTTTTGATGCGGCGGGGAGCATGGTCTTGCCCACCTCAGGGCCACCGTGCGGCGGCGGCTCCGACGGTGGCCCGCCGGTAGGGACCACGGTGACTCTCGCCCGACAGCGGAGGTGATAATAAAAGGCTACCGGTGTGGCGTGAACTGGCCGTCTCTTCGTTTTTCCTACCCTTTCTCGGAGGAAAAAAATAATCCGGTCTTTGACTTTACTAGCTTCTTCTGATGCGCGTCTTCTTCCCCCCCTCTTATCGATTCTAAGGGGAATAAATTATCATCTTGGGGAATCCAAATCCTTTCTCTAGCCTCCCATGGATCCTCCTCGGCGGCGCTGCCGCTTCCACGGCGGAGGGGCGGCGGCGGCCTGGTCGCCGCTCATGGTTGCCCTCCTGGTCCTGCCGCAGCTATCCTCCGCGGCCTTCGAACCCGCCACCAGGATCCTCCTGAACTGCGGCTCCAGGGACAGCGCAACGCCGCCCAACGACAACCGCCCCTTTCTCCCCGACTCTACAGCGAACTCCGTCTCTCTCTCCGGCAGCTCCGTCGAGGTCGTCGATTCGAATAGCAGCTCCTACAGCGGTGCTGCCCTGTACCAGACAGCGAGGGTCGCCACGGGCCGCATGTCCTACGAGTTCAGCGTCGCCTCCACCGGCAACCACGTGCTCCGGCTCCACTTCGCCCCCTTCTCCTCCGCCAATTACGATCTCTTCTCCGCCGTGTTCACCGTCTCCGCCCTCGACAGGTTCGAGCTACTGAAGAACTTCTCCGTCCCCAGGGGCGGCGCCGCCTCCCCCGTCGTCAAGGAGTTCTTCCTCCGGGTGGACTCGGGCAAGTTCGTCATCGCCTTCACACCGTCATCGGCGGTGGCCTTCGTCAGCGCCGTTGAGGTCTTCACCGCACCTGTGGAGCTCCTCCGCAGCGACGCCCGGTGGGGTGGTCTTACGGCGCAGCTGGCGCTGGAGACCGTCCACCGCATAAACATGGGGGGACCTCTGATCACCCCCTCCAACGATTCCCTGTGGAGGAGCTGGATTCCCGACGGCGACTTCCTACTCGATAGTAGCACCGCCACGATCGTTGACTCGTCGGCGACGATCAATTATCCCAGCGACGGTAGCGGACCGACCGAGGAGGTCGCGCCGAGCAGGGTTTACAGCACGGCGCAGGCGATGAACAAGAAAGGGCTCCAAGATCCCTGGATCAACATCACCTGGCGGTTCAACGTCTCCACCGGCGACATCCATCTCGTGAGGATGCACTTCTGCGACATCGTCACTACCATATCCTCGCAGCTCGTCTTCAACTCCTACGTCGACAGGAAGGACTTCTACCGGAATCTGCAACTGTCTAATGAAGTTTTCGACAAGACCACCGCCCCCTACTACTCTCAGTCATACGTCGCCGACGGCGGCGGCGCCGAGGGTAGCTCGAGGATCATGGAGGTCACCGTCGGGCGGTCGGACATGAGCACGGCCACGACGGCCGATGCCCTGTTGAACGGACTGGAGATCATGAAGGTGTTGAACAGCTCGGCGATCGGGTCCGGCGGCGGCGGGGAATCGAACAAGGGAACCACCAGCATCCTGATCGGTTCCGTCGTGGGAGGCCTCGCTCTGCTCCTGCTGGTGGTGGGATTTCTGGTCCTCTCCTTCCGCCGCGGGCGGAAGGGCCGGACGCTGCTGCCGCCGGAAAGGAAGGAGACGGGGACGTCGTGGTGGTCGCCCCTGCCGGGGCACTCCGCCGTCTCCCGCAGCAAGGTCAGCGAGGGCGCCACCGCCACCGGGCCGGGATGGACGCGGCAGGAGATGAACCTGGGCCTCCACATCTCCTTCGACGAAATCCTCTCGGCGACGAAGGGCTTCGACGACGAGCTCATCATCGGCTCCGGCGGGTTCGGGAATGTCTACAGGGGGGTGCTGAGGAACGGCACCAATGTCGCCGTCAAGCGGGGTATGCCGGGTTCGTCGCAGGGTTACCCGGAGTTTCAGGCGGAGGTGCTGCTGCTGTCGAAGATCCGCCACCGCCACCTCGTCTCCCTCGTCGGCTACTGCGAGGAGAAGTCGGAGATGATCCTGGTGTACGAGTTCATGGAGAAGGGCACCCTCAAGGGGGTCCTCTACGACGGCGGCGCCGCCGGCGAGCCCTGCCTGTCTTGGAAGCAGCGGCTGGAGATCTGCATCGGCGCCGCCAGGGGGATCCACTACCTCCACACCGGGGATTCGCAGGCGATCATCCACAGGGATCTGAAGACCTCCAACATCCTCCTCGACGAGGACCTCACCGCCAAGGTCTCCGACTTCGGGCTCTCCCGCATGGGCCCGGCGGTGGGGAAGACCCACGTCAGCACCGCCGTCAAGGGCAGCTTCGGCTACCTCGACCCGGAGTACTTCAAGACCCAGCAGCTCACCGACAAGTCCGACGTCTACTCCTTCGGCGTGGTGCTCCTGGAGGTGCTCTGTGCCAGGCCAGTGATCGACCCGCAGCTCGCCGGCGACCAGCTCAACCTCGCCGAGTGGGCGGCGATGAGCCACCGAAGGGGCCAGCTCGAGCAGATCGTCGACCCCCGTCTCAGAGGGGAGATCAACGCCGCTTCCCTGAGGAAATTTGGCGAGACGGCGATGAGGTGCCTGGAGCCCTTCGGCGACGACCGCCCCGCCATTGGAGATGTGCTCTGGAACCTCGAGTACTGCCTGCAACTCCAGCAGACGGAGATCAAGAGGGAGGCCTACGAGGACAGCGGCGTCTGCGAGACGCAGTTTCCGGCGGCGCTGCCGCTCCGGCCTGTGCCGTCGGCCGGCGGGACGATCGGCGAGGAACAAGAGGACGATGACGCCGCCCCCTTCGCACCGGTGGAAGGGCTCGACGCCGACCAGATGGACTTCACCGCCAGCAAGGCCTTCTCCCAGCTGATCACTCACGAGGGCAGATAATTGATCGAGAAGCTACTCCATCTATCTTCTCTTCTCCAATCCTCTCTCTGAATCGATAAATTTCTACGCTACCCGCTTCCAAGAGATTTCCTTTCGGGATTTCTCTCGCTTGAATCAATCCGAAGAACATCTGTAATAACTGTAAAAATTCTCCTGCGGATCTATCCAGATCGGTCGTTTTCGATCCGATTTCATGGTAAGAATGGAACTTTACAAATCGCCACCGTTTCTTTCCTCTGCGTCATTCTCCGGCGCCAGTGTTGCCATCGCAGCCCATCGCCCCGCGACCCTTCGAAATGCCGCCGCCGCCGTTCATTTCTTGGCAGCAGCCGGAGGAGGAAGACGACGACGGAGGACCCCACCACGGAAAGGGCCGGACCCACGATGGAGGTGCCGCCGCTATCCGCCGTTACTCTCTCAGACTTTCGGTGACCGCTGATTTTTTTTAGTTTTTTACTGAATTTCTATAATCTTCAACAGATAAGGTTTATGTTATGCTTATCTCATATATTTATATTCATTTTTTTCAAATATTTATAAATATTCACTAAGTAGTATTTACTACTCGGGATATTTTTTCAATAAAATATTTACTGGGGACTGGGTGGGCTGGTCGTTCTATTTGGAAATATAATTAATGGGCCCATAGGAGCCTCCAACAGGGCCCAACGCGCTTCTATGTCCGAGCGCGTTCCAGCTGGCGGTGACGTCAACACTGACCTGGCCCACCCGGTGGAAAACTCTCGATCTTTTCTCACCGCCGTTAAACCTCGACATATAGAAATAATTGGGGGAGAACGAGAAATCCGTCTTCGCCGTGAGTTTTCGTCGGAATGGGGAATCTTCAGATCTGCGGCTGCCTCCTCCTCTTCCTCGCCGCCGCCGTCCTCCGGAGCTCGGCCATCGTCTTCGCCCCAGCGGACAAATACCTCCTCGATTGCGGCGCCACCTCCCCGACTACGCTCGACGACCGCCGTGTCTTCCTCCCCGACGATTGCTCCTCGACATCCACCTCCTCCTTCGCCCTCCTCTCTTCCCAGGATTCAACCCCCGTTGAAGATCCCAACCCTTCCACTGCCGCCGTCTCCGACCTCTACCGCACGGCTAGGATCTTCTCGGCGCCTACGTCGTACCGCTTCCGCATCAGGGACAGGGGCGCCGCCCACCTCGTCCGCCTCCACTTCCGGTCCTTCTCGTCCCCGTCGCACAACCTCTCCGCGGCGCGTTTCCATGTCGTGGCGGGTCGCTTCGTCCTCCTCAGCAATTTCAGCCTGGTGAGTGTTGACGGCGGTCCCCTGCTGAAGGAATACATTTTTACGGTGGAATCCGATTACCTCGTGATCACGTTCGCTCCGGCCGATGCTTCTTCGTTGGCATTTGTTAATGCTATCGAGGTCTTCTCTGGGCCGACAGACCTCATTTCCGATCTTGCGTGGTCAGAGGCAGATAATGACTACAAGAATTGGGGTCTGTCGGGGCAGGCCTTGGAGACTTTGTACAGGATCAACGTTGGTGGTGCCAAGGTGACTTCATTTAACGATACCCTGTGGAGGACTTGGAAGGCTGATGATGCCGACTTCCTCAAGTCAGGGATCTCCACGTCAAGAACTGTCGCCTTCAGTGGCCGGGTAAATTACAGGGAAGGTGGTGCTAGCCGTGAGGTAGCCCCTGACCATGTGTATGCCACTTCCAGGGTGACAGATTCCAATTTGACTTGGGTGTTCCATTTGAATCCTGGTTACAAGTACCTTGCTCGGATGCATTTCTGCGACATCGTTAGTTTGGCCCTCAACCAATTATACTTCGACATCATGATCAACGGGAAGGTTGTCTATGATAATTTTGACCTCTCAAAAGCCACCGACCAATCTCTGGCTTCTCCTTTTTACATTGACTTCGTTGTGAGGCTGGACAACACGAGATTCTTAACAGTTGGGATCAGTTCTTCTAGGCTTGGTTTTCCAGCGAACAATTTGGGCTTGTTGAACGGCTTGGAAATCTTCAAGATCAATAACACAGTTGGGAGTCTTGATGGGACGGTGTTGGCACATGAAATTTTGGAGGATCACACGAAAGGAAATTTTTTCATGTTCCTTCGTTCACTATTATGCGGTTTCACTTTCATAAGCTTGATTGCTGTCGCATTTATGTTGGTGCAATGGTTGAGGACGGAGACCAGGAGCCCTGTGGCATGGTTGCCTTTGCCTGTTGATGCTGAGGAAAGAAAACTGATGCGTGAAATTCCCATTACTTCAGGTAAGACAGTGCAGTGACTGATAACATCATCCCTTTGTCGGGTTGTATACTTAGTCTTGTTTTACTGATTTCTAGAGGTTAATCCTCTACGGAACTTGCTGAAATTCTAAAGAAGTTCGTGTGCGTTGTGAACAATTACACAGTGTACATAGTTGTATTGTCGTATTGAAGACCACTGAATGTATTTGGAGTTAACTCTTTTTGAAATCCGAGATAACGGAAGCTTTGTGACCAAGGCTGTCAATCAGAAAGCATAAATAGATCATTTTATAGAAGTATGGGGTGAGTAATCCTTGGTACTGATGGAATTATAATGGGCGTCTTCTATTTTTACATTGTAGGCATAATGTATTCTTCGCTCTGTACAACATTAGTTAAATTGTTTACCACAAAAGGGCCGGTGATGTTTCTTCATCCACATGCAAGTTGCTTATTTAGATGCGTATCTCTGAAAAATCATGTTTTGTCTGTAAATACGCATTGGGGTTATGCTTCTGCATAGACATCCACTCGCATTGAAAAAAGTAATAACAATATTTCTGTATGAATGACGTACATCTTTACTTAATTAAGGTCTTGGTGAAGTCATGTACCATGTTCACAGCGTTTGTGCTCCTCCACATGGGAATGGTGATACACCTTCGTGAATTGGCACATAAGACTCCTCGTGAAGATTGTGCATTTAAGTATGGAAGTCATTTTGGTTATTATGAACAATTTGATGTTGTTGTCATGACATTTCCATGGTTTATGGACGTCAAAGTTAAAACTATATGAGAGAAAAGGGCATGTTTTCTTGGTTGCACAAGGGACACTTTTCCTTTTACCTATTTTAAAATTTATGACCTCCACATGTTGAATAAAGAATATACTATCTATTTCAATGAGATGTAGTGGATGGCTAAAGTTCATATTTCTTAGGTTTATTGCTTGATGAGTTCTTAGTTGAAATAAGACTTTTGGAATCTAACATCAGTGGATTTTCATATGGACAAACGCCTTATGTGTAGTTGATGTAACTAGACTACAAATTGGGTGCAATACTATTAGCTTGATAGAGAAAATTCATTTGAAAATGAAAATTCTGGCTAGGTTTCCCAAATCATATATAGTGAAAAATTGTTTCTCAACCTCCTCTAACTAGACCACTTCATGTACTGCTCTCTGCCTCCCACAAAAACACCCTCTTTTATCTTATTTGTCTCTCCACCTCATCATTAAAGCCTTAACCCTTGAACAGTAAACAAGGTACAAGTTATCATCTGATGATAACGTAGGTCTGAAATCTATCCTATGTAATATACATTTTATCCTGCTCTGATAAATACCTCTGGCAGTGCCTACATCCAGACACATAAATTTGAGGAATTATCTGTCTTATTTCAATAACATGGGTGCCACAGTAATCAACAGTTGACATCAACATCATAGCTCAACTCTCAGTCATAGAAATTGGTTGACTAATGTTCTCCTCAGTCAACACCTTGTTCTAAACACTGCTCTGATGAACTGATGGTTGATGCCATGACGATACCCTTTTTACTGGCCTAGAGTGCGCCATCTCGTTGATTCAGCTGTTGGATGGGGAATCCGGTTGGAACTTTACTTTTGGTTTAACATATATCCCAGGGATTCAACTTTACTTACTTTTCATTGCCTACTTCATGCTCAGGCTCAAAAAAAGGGTACCATCTGTCCATCTTTCGTGACCTTCTCCCCCTTCCATCCATTGTGTTCCTCACTTCTTAGCGTTTACAATAATTTTAGTGTAATTTCATTTAACATGTGAATTAGATGATGATCCGCAGCTAATTAGTACTCTTTAACTGTCCAGACTCCTGCTTTAGCTTTTCCATACAGGCTGAAGGTTTGCTTTCTTTTCTTTGTGTGGAAGTCTATTAACAACTGGAGCTGACAGACAAGTTCTCGTGTTTCCTGCAACTTGCAATTTATGTGGTGGTGGGGCAGAGCAGGAAACAATGGAATTTTGATGGTTGCCCATGATATATTTATAGTAATCTTTAGGATAACTTTAACTTTAGCCTACGAAGGGGTCAAGTTCCAGATACTTCACCAGTTGGAAATCTATTTTTGATGATTGCAAGCGTGTTTTAGCTACTGCATTAATTAATTGTGCAAATTCTGTTGTGTTTGTGAAGTTTCTCTATGAACTGGCCATAGTTCAGTTTTCCTTGGGGCAGTACAACAAGTGGTACAGGATGTAAGATACCTCTTGTAAACAGGTCCTGCGGGGCATAAGAAAAACGCTTGCTGAATACTTTTTCTGAACCATCATCATAACTTCTGTCATAAGTAAGTTTTTTATGAAAAATTCGTCTTATCAATAAAGCACCCACCCTCAAACAGTATATCTTCTAAGGAAATAATCTACAAGGTTCTAACCCTTAGCACCTTTCGCTCACTGGCTACTGCTGATCTTTGCATAATATTCTCTTTTAACTCACAACATTACCACTACGGAATCGTTTCATTGACTTTTCCATCTGAAGTTGGAAACGTCTCCCGTGCCAGTATCTGGTTGCTTCTCTCTGTCAGAATTGGTCAATTTTCGGAGCACATTGAAGGTGAAAGCCTTGGTATCAATGAGCTTGGTATCTGATGGGTAATCAACATGGTCAGCATGAGATTTGATCTGAATGCGTTGGGTCTATTCTTGTTCCTATTTACCTGTTCCTATTTACCTTCCGTTGCCATTTGAAGCTCATTGGAGCATCTTCTTCTTTTTTCTTCTATTCCTCAGCTGGTGTTATCTACCCTGCAGAGCTTTTTCATCTCTGCAGGGGTTGGGGAGTGAAAAAAATTGTTCATCATCTGCCAATGAGTAGATACCAGAACACTAAACGTGACTGTTGTGCATCTTGGTGCAACTGATGAATGGAAAGGAAGCTGTCTAGGGGAAGCTCAGGGAACTCACGGCGACCAGAGATGTTTCACCGTCTGGGTGACCTAGGTGCTCAAAGGGCAACGATGAGCGTTAGAAACTTAGCTCGAACATATGGTTGGGCAGTAGCGAAGAGAGATTGGGACTATACGACCGTGATTGCAGAGGTAGAAGATCTTGGCTCTGCTGGGGTAAGTGGGGAAGATGAAGTGGAGACTTAATAAACTAAGGGGAATTAGTCGTCTTTCATTAAAAAACTTTCAAATCATCAGAAAAGGAGGCCTCTTTTTTCTGGGTTCCAACCATCTTTGTTGAGTTCTTGCTGGTTGCGTCTAGTGTGAGCTGACAACGACTTGCTGCTATGATCCTCTAACCTGCTTAGGATTTGACCTCTCTTGGTGTATTTTACCAGTCTTACAGCTTGTTAAGGAAACCTAGGGGATGATATCATCTATAGAGAGATACGGCTTCCTAGTATGAGATTTTCTCCATTGATGTTCCTTGTATCCCATTAAGGTTGGTATAACAGTGAGATTGTCTTGCTTTCGGCCTCTTTACTGGAGAGGAGACAGAAGGAGGTGGCCTGCTTACCTCAGCCTGGACAACTTTTGGCATCACTTCCTCTGAGGTTTGAGATGGAAGGTACTAATTGAAGAAATATGCCTGCGAAGATAATCGTTATCCCTTCCCCTCCTCTCTCTCTCTCTCTTGCTCTCTCTCTCTCTAGCTCTGTTTTTAAATATTGGTCTCTGACATGGGGTCCAAGGTTTCCTTAAACGCGTCTCTGTGTCCAAGGTTTGTTTTTCTCTAAGAGCCGCTTCATCTGTGTCTGTTTCTGTCAGAATGTTTTTGTCTGGCTCCTTATAACCTTGTGAAAGTCTCATTTTTTCTTAAGTTCTTAGATGTTGCGCCAATCAATTGATTCAGGTTTTTTAGTCACTCAAATATTTTAGAGACTCTCTCTGTCTCTCTCGTCTGTATGAGGTAGAAAGAGGGTAGAGTTCTAAGAGAGTTGGAGTCTAAAAATCTCTCATAGGATGCCATTATCCGTCAATTTCTTTCTTAGGAAGCAGTCCCTGTCTGTCTGCCTGTCTGCTCTTATTTCTCTCTCTCTCTCTTACCTATCCATCCGAGGAATAAAGAGCGTTAAATTTAAATGGGATCCTGTAAATGTCTTTCTCTCTCATACACACATTACAACAGGAAAGAGGGGAAATCTCAAGTAGGGCAAGTAGTGCCTACAAATCTCCATCAGAGAGGATCGGAGAGCCCTTAGATCTCCAGTTTTCCGAAACACTACTTTTTCACATTGAAGGGAAAAGTTAAACCACGCGTTACATATGCATATACGTGCTTGTATATATATATATATTAAACACAGATTCTATGGGCGTCGGAGTACGTAGGATTCTCCGGCAGGCCGTGAGCTTGGGGCCCAGCTGATCAGCAGGCGGGGAGAGAGCCGGCAGGGATGAAGAAGGTTGCGTGGTCCCACCAGTAGGTGAACCTCACCGCGGCGCCGCCGGCGATGGGATCCCCGCCGGCGACAAGGAAGCCTTCGCCGTTTCGCCGGAGCGCCGCCGGATCCACCGGCCGCTGCGTCATGAAGCCCGGGGCGTCGACCCTCACGTTTCTCTGCGCGCAGGCGCAGGCGTTCTCGATCTCTACCTCGAACTCGAAGTCGAATCCCTGGAAGGCTCCCGTCGTCCTCTGATTGACTTGGATGCAACCCGGCTGCTCTAATCCTACACATTTTTACGTTCACCATGAAAGAAGGAAAGAAAGAAAGAAAGAAACGAAGAAAGAGAGAAAGAAAGAGAAAGTAAGAAGGGAAGAAAGATGGCTATGAAGCTCTAACGGAGGAGGATGCAGAGGAATCGTGAAGAAAGAAGATGGGGTTACCCAGAGAGGAGGCGGGGAGTAGAAGAAGGAAGAAGAACTTGAGAGCAGCAGCAGGATCCGCCATGTTCTCCTCTCCAGCTCCGGCGATGGTCTCCACTAGGGTGGCTCTGGTCGGTATATATGCCGAAAGGAGCGGAGCTTGCCCAGAAAGTTAGCTGTTTCAGACGAGGCGGAGGGTATACGGCGGGAACTTCCTGGCTCTTCGAGGATTAAACGGGTTGATCGGAGATCTCGATCTCACCAAAACGAAGCAAACGGAAAGCGACGGGCTGAAGGGATGAGGGTGAGGCAATCTCTCTCGGAGCCTATTTGCTGCAAGCAATAATCTCTAGGAAAATAGTCTTAACTCGAGTAGGCAAAATTCACTAAGCGGGGATCGTCTGATTTTACCAGAGGAATTCTCCTACCATTGCATCAATTAACTCACCACTTAGAGTTCTATTCCCTCCTCCTCTGTCTCTCTCCCTCTCTCTTTCTTCCCCCCCCTCCTCCGCCTCTTAGACCGCAACCGACGATTTTAAATTCAAGGTGAGATGGACTGCTAGTGAAGGCGATACCAGAGGAAGAGGATGGAAGACGTCATGGGTCATCGTTGTGCTATCCTCTTCTCATCTACGACTCTTCTAAAGTCCTATTTTATTCTCTGATCCTATCTTTTCTTCTCTTGGGCTCATTGATATCCATGAAGGTTGTTTCTATGTCAATCATTCTTTAGTCTAGTTCGAGGACTTTCTGAGCTTATGAGGACATTCAGAAGGTATCATGTTCTTAGTCATTGCTCAGAGCTAGGACTGACATATGGATTTAATTTATGAGCTATTGAAAATTAATGTAATATAAATATGAACCTTTATTTCCCATGCATTGTCAACAAAAACTTTAAATTTGTAAGATTAGAGAATCAAATTCTCCAATTCCCGTAATCTTATTTTTTGGCTAATCATCAGGTAACATAAGATACGACTGGTTCTTACAATCATATTGTTGGATCAGTTGCCTATTCTGGAAAAAATCAAGGCATGCGAATAACAAGGATATGTTGCTTTATGCTCAAATAAACATACTAAATATTGGCACACTTTACTCTCCAAGATTTTTTTTGTATTTTGACTAGGCTTGTTCCAAACCTATAAATATTGGGTTTCTTATGTGTGAGTTAAACTTTGTGCCACCAATATAGCTTTCTCAAAGTACATAGAAACCTTTTATGTAGTGCTCAATAGCAAGGTAGCCACGTGTAAAAAATGTTACCTATAGCTCCTTTATACACAAAGATGTTGGGACAAGCCCAAAATCCTCAGACTTTAGATGCCTTGAAACTTTGTTGGTTCAAGATTGCTTTTGGGGTTTACAAGATTGATTCATGGAATCTTGAGAATCTGCCTTTATTTTTAATATTAAATAGTTAAATGTTTTCTTATAGCCATTGCAAAAAGCTTTGCTCCAATAGCTACAAAGTAGTCTCATTAGAAGCTTTTTACACTTTTTCAGCCCAAGCAAAATCGTCATTTCAAAGTCATGCTTTGAACATTTAGTCTACTAGATGTATGAGGGGTTTAGATTTTCTCCAATCAGGGCATAAGTTTATAAGTTTTTTACATTTTCGTTTCTTGGGAAGTTGACACTTAACATAATGTAGTGATCAACCTTTCTATTTTCTAGTTCCTATTTTTATGTAGGTGTTTACACTTCTTTTTAGGGTAAACTTACTTTTTTCTAGTTGTTGTGATCACTAGGTTTAACATTCTGTGTTATGGTTTTCATTTATTAACAAAAAAGATCTTATTTTATAAATATTTTGACAAATAACCTTGGAGTATCAATCTTGATATTTAATTCATTATTTAGCCTTTTTATATATTCTTAAATTTTTATTTCTGCACTCAAGACTCATGGAAAAAAAAAAGAAATTTAGTGCCAAGAATATTGATAACATGTATTCATTCTTGGATGTTGTCATGAAAGAGTTTTGATGGCACTCATAAGAGTTAATTTCCCATCGTTACACAATTTTGTTGGAAGACCACTCATTTGATATTGACCAAATTAATTTGACAATTAAAAAATAAGTTTACTTTTGAATTACTAGTGTTTTGATATCTCACAAAATTGTGACATATCCTTGCATTAATGATATTATTATTTTTTCCTAGCCCATTATATTTGATTAAATTAATGGTGTTTTGCTATTCTCTTATGTTTTAGAAAAAGGTTTGAATCGAATAAATTTGCTTAAGTCATAAAGTTTTACACACATTAAATAGCTATGCAAGACTAATACCGATTATTATAGCAACCCCAGATGAAGTATTGAAGGAGCTAACCTTTTTTTATTCTCATATACTACTCCTATGATAGTGTGAAACTCATCCCTTATGAATTGATTCATTTTATAATTTGATACCTATTTCACTAGTAGAAAAAAATTATAGATTTTGAGAGTTATTTGTCAAAAGAACCTCAGAATTGTGGGTGATTTTTTTTATTTTCTATTTCGAGAGTCTAGTATTAATAATGTTGACAAGAGAAAGAGAAAACCTTAGAATAGATGATTGAAGAAGAGGAGTACATGAGGTAATATGAAAGAAGAGAAGAAAGAGAGAGAAGGAGAAGTGGAGATCATAGAGAAAGAATAGGGATGAGGAGAGAATAAGTCCAAAATGGGCCTAGTGGGCCCAATGGACCTACTCTAACACTCCTCCTCAAGTTACAACATACAAGTTAAACATGCCTAACTTGGTGCACATTACCTCATAAGAGATTTTCACAAAACTTTTGATAAAGATGTTTGCAAGCTGATGAGATGAGACAATGTGTGGAGTAGAGATAACACCTGACATTATTTTATCCTGGATGTAATAATAGTCAATCTCAATGTGTTTCATCCGCTTATGAAATGTAGGATTTTTAATAATAAAGATGACAACTTGATTATCATAATATAAAGGCATTGATGTAAGAGACGAGATGTCAAATTCTTTGAAGAGTGAACAAAGCCACATCATTTCTCATGCCATCCCAACCATGACACGATACTCAAACTTAGTATTATAGTAAGGTACCACCTTCTGCTTCATAAAGTGCCACATGATAAGATTGCCACCCACATATGTGCAATAACTAATAGTGGATTTACGACCTCTCTTGTCACCAACATATTTTACATTTGAGTAAGCTTTAATCTAAAGATGTCAATGTCTTCAATAGATAAGCCCTCTTTCAAGAGTTCTTTTGATGTATGTTAGAACTTGTAAAGCTTTCTTCTAGTGAACTTGTCAAGGTTCATACATGAATTGACTATAGACATTAATCGCCTACACAATATTGGAGCGAGTGATGGTAAGGTAAATCATCTTCTCTAATAAATGTTTGTACCGATTTGCTTCTTCTAGTAGCAGAGACAACATATCTCAGAAGCATGGGCGTGTTTCCATAAGTGACAACTCTGGCTTACACCTAAGTAGTCTAATTTTTTGAAGTATATCAAGAACATACTTTCGCTGAGAGAGAATGAGTTTGCCATCCTAATGGGCGAACTCAATCCTAAGGAAGTATTGTGGAACCTTCAGATCTTGTATACTGAAATGCTATTACAAGTATGATTTAGTAGCTTGAATGTCTGCTTCATTACTTCCTATTATAAGAATGTCATTTATATAAATATGTAGGATGATAAGTTGAATTTAGTAGTCTTTGTAAGTACTATAAGATCCGCAAGACGGTGAGAATTTGAATTACGTTTGAAGACCATTGAACTTGGTAAATCAGGCACGTAGACTTTACCTAAGTTTGCAAATAGCGTGTTGCAAAAGACACACCTTCGATGACTCCCCATAAGCAACATATCTAAGAGTTTGCTTCATAAACATTTGTTTTTTAAAGTTACTATAGAGAAAGGTATTAAAAACATTAAATTGATATAAAGATCATGCCTAATTCATTGCTAGAGAAAGTATCACTTGAATAGAGTTGAATCAAACCACTAGAGAAAATGTCTCAATGTAGTCAATACTATATGCCAATGTGAATCCACGAGCAACCAAACGAGCCTTGTGACATGTAATAGATTGATTTAGATTATTCTTTAGTGTGAAAACTCACTTGCATGTGATGATGTTGGCATCGTGTGGACAAGATACAAGTGTCTAAGTTCTTCGAGACACTAAGGCATCCACCTCTAAGTACATAGCTGCCTTCTATTTAGATATTTGTGCAACCTTAACATACGACTATAGAATTAACTTGAAGGCCATGAAAAGGACAAAGGTGTAAAAGAAAGGAGAAAGATAGTTGTAGAAAATAAAATGAGAAATGGAGTGTTTAGTGGAGAGCAATAGAAAGATGAAAGTCATCCACTTGAATGTCCTAAGAGACGACCAAAGGAGGCTTCTTAGTAGAGGGTGAAGATTAATTTGATCTTAGAGCAGAAGAGTTAGATGGTGACGAAGCCGAAGGTGTCAAAAGAGAAGTTGACGAGGGAGAAACTAGATAAATAAGAAGAGTAAGAGAGGGATCTGCAATGATCACCATAGGAGGAAAACAAGGTGGTGAAGATACAATAGATTGATGAGGAGTCAATGGTGGAGAAAAGAAGAGAGAATCCTCATAAAAGGTAACATCAACTGATGTCACATAGTAAGAAGTATTAGGAAAATAGACTCAATAACCCTTTTATGTCTGTGAGTAACCAACAAATATATTTTTGAAAGCACGAGAGGCTAGTTTAGAAAGAAAAGGAGAGTGGTCTTAGATGAAAGCAATGCATCTAAAGATACAAAGGGATAAAAAAAGAAAAAAGAATCGGGTGAAAGATGATGAAGTGAAATGATCTTAGCAAGTGGAGCCAAAGAAGGTTGATTTTGGAGATATGTAGCTATTAGGAGAGCATCAAATCACAAATAATGAAGAACATTTATCTCAATAAGTAGTGTGCGAATAATGTCAAGTAGTTGGTGATATTTTTTTTCGGTAATATTATTTTGTTGGGATGTATGTGAACACGATCTGCTGAAAAATACCACGATCAACGCAAAATATGCAAAATGAATCTTGGATCAGTTTCAAAGTATAATTGATGTGAAGAACTTGGATATAGTAGAATACTTAGTGATGACCTTAGTAATAAAGTAAACAATAATAATGTAAACTTGAGTACGATCTTAGAGAAGATAGACTCAACTCACTTGAGTGTAGTCATCAACAAAGACAATGTAGTAGTAATGGCCCGAGACAGATGAAGTATGAGAAGGACCTCAAATATCATAATGAATGAGGTCAAAGAGTACAATGGATAGAATCTTGTCTCGACTCGAGTATGAACCATGATGATGTTTGCATAATTGGCATGACTCACACACAAACTTATTAAGAGAAAGTCAAAGTAATGGTTTTTGAAACTTATCAAAATAAAGATGTCCTAAACGACGATGTCACAAAAGAGATGAAGGCTAGAGAAAATAAAAAGTGTTTTAAGGCTAGAAAAAAGTTCATCAAAAATTAGTTTGTAGACATCTGGTCCATTCTCACGCACCAATTTAATCATCCACTCGATATACAAATTCTAGAAGGTGACTTGAGTAATGGCATTGATAGATAATAAGTTAGTAGAAAATCTAAGAACATAGAGAACTTTGGTGAGATGAATACTCGGGATAACAACAATATTATCATGTCCGTTGATCAATCAAGTCCAATCATTGACAATGGTAACTAGTGAATGATGAGGGGTAGGCTAGTATGATGATAAAATAATGGGTGTGCTGGTCATATGAGTGGAGGCTCCTGAGTTAATAATCTATAGTGAAGATGAAGATGTAAGGAGAGTATGTGTACTTGATGTGAAAGGATTCAAAAACGAGGTTAGATTGGTTGAGGAGGGAGCTATGGTATCACTAGAGTGATGTAATGCTTCATATTTGGTAGAGGTCAATGTCACTTGAAAAGTTAGAGATGGGACACTAGAAATTGGTGAAGGAGGTAAGAGAACTAGTTGGACAGAGTTGGGCTTCATGAACTATTTTCAACATTTATCGGACAAGTGGTTCTATTTACCATAGTAGATGCATGGAGGAAAAGAATTGCGACCCTTCTTCTATGGCAGATGGCCATTGTTTGGCCTTGAAGCAGGAGTGTCATGTGGCACTAGAAGAGTGGAGGCGACTATCGCCGAAGGAGTAGATGTGTCATTAGATAACAAGAGGAGTGTCTGTACTCACACAAAGTGTAATAGAAAAAAGGTGAAAGATATAAGGTACCTAGTCTTCAGAGAGAAACGTCCCACGATCTGAGAAGTAATCGATGAGTGAAGTCCACTCAAATAGACTATGACAAGAAATTCATAATAGTAGTGCTCAAATGTTCGAAGGTCAGTGATCAGAGGTTGATAGATGATAAGTTCCTATTTCAAGGCCTGAAGAGGACCAAAATGAGCATGAAGTGAGGAGTCACCCTACTTGTAGGTAAAAAATGACTCAAAGATCTTGACTGTGCAATTGGTATTCATTTAATTGGCATACATGTTCTCCAATGTCGTCTAGAGTTGTTGTGTAAGGTGAATCCGAGTGAGAGGCTCGACAATACTTGACGTAATATTTTGAAACATTTAGGTAAGGATGACTGAATTGAGTTAAGACTATGAAGCAAATGACGGATCAATGAGGCTGAGTGAATTAGTCAACAAGTGGTGGAGAAAGTTGTGCGACATCAAAAAGTACCGAATCCAGAGGCCCACAATACATAATTATGTCTATTTGAGACATATGTCGGACAATTGAGTTGCACCATGATAGAGTGTCGTGGAGTAGTTGACTTGATCAGAGGAAGAGTGACAGTTGGTTGAAAAACTAGTAGAAGAGGTGCATGAGACATCAAGGATTCACTCACCATATCCATCGATCAAGATTATGAGAGATGAGATGATAGGTGTGTAGGGCTATGCAGACTAGGCATTAGGTAGGCACACCAAGTGGTGCTGCAGAAGATTACATTGGGAGAAGATAAGTGATGTCAAGAAAGGAGGTAGAGTAGCGGTGTCTGAGAAACCCTAGGGTTCTCATATCATGTTGACGAGAAGAAGAGAAAACCCTAGAATAGATGATTGAAGAAGAGGAGTACATGATGTTATATAGAAGAAGAGAAGAAAGAGAGAGAGGAGAAGTGGAGATCGTGGAGGAAGAATAAAGACATGAAGAGAATAAGTCTAAAATGGGCCTAGTGGGCCTAGTGGGCCTATTTTAATAAATAATTATCACATGACCTTTTCTGGATATGATAGTCTATAATGATTTGATGCTAAATTTTTAATCATAGGTTGATTTAGTTACGAATCAATTATGGAATTGAGTTGAACTACACTATTGAATGTTTGGAGGTTAGAACGGATGACATATGATACTTACATTAGAGTATGGTGAAATGTAATTGCTATTAAAATCTTGTTGTGCATTTTATCCTACAAAAGAAGTGAAGTATGTGACTTTGCTTGTGAGAACTTGCACCTAAGTTAGATTAGGCATAATTTGTGCACAATAACATATTTACTCTTTTCTTGGTTCTAGATGCTCCCTATATATAACTACAAAAGGGCCATTAGATGAATTAAAATAGAATATTATTTATAAAAGTTAATTAAATATACTTTATACTAAAATAAAAATTAATGAGAATCAACTAAAATGTACATATACAATGTTGTTAGGATATTATTTGAGAACATAACTTTACATATGTCATGATTAAACCTTTAAAGGAATCTAATGAAATTTCCTTAATGCTAGTTTTATTGAAATGACTATTACTCAATACTTCACAAGATAGTAATATATTTAATGGAGATAACATTGAAGGAAGAATTTAAGCTTCAATTTTGATGACAAGTGATCACCTAATCATGTGTGAAGAAAAAATAATGTCCTTGATTAAAAGGTTTGGGAGAAATTTTCAAACATTAACCTAGTGGATAATGCCATGTTGAAAGAGTAGATTGATACATATTATTTTACTAGGTTTTTTTTATTATAACAAGAAAAGCTTATATAAGGCCATTCAAATCATGTTGATAGGCATATATGTTTCATGGAGATGGAATGACTTTGATGTTGTAGGATTAGGAGCTTTAAGAGAATAGAGAGGCTTGTTGATGCCTTTGGTTTTGATAATATAATGTGAAAAATAATTTATTGAATATGTATTAAATTTCATATATGATGAGAGTTTGTCTTAAATATTTAATATCTTTAAGATTAGTAAATATGTATGATCTTTAAATGATCTCATGATTCTATGGCTAACAAGTAAATCTAAAAAGTTAATCTTTGAAATTATTTGATTTCTTATGTATATTGGAACTAACCTTGAAATCCTGCATCTTAGATTTCATACATAAGTATAAGAAGTTTAATATCAACTCAAATGAGGAAATATTTTAAAAATTACGAAATATCAAAGTCATGTGTAAGTCTCTAACTTGTAATTGAGACAATGGTATATCAATAGACTATGTGAAGACAATGATGGATCATATGTGTTTATTTAGATTAAACCTCAACAGAAAAGTTATTAATTGACAAGAAATAAATTTTAAGTTCAAATTTTAAATTAAATAGACAAGAGAATAGAGAGCTTTGAAGCACAAAAAAAAATAGAGGTCATTGGGTGCATTCTATACAATGGAAATATTTTTGAAAATTGGTTGACCTCTCTTAAAACAAATGAGTAAAAAATGTGGACAATAGAAAAAGGAGAAAGCTTGAGAAGATAACATAGACTCTAGAGACTATCTTCACTTCTCTCTCTCACGATTCAGCCACTATGAGCTTCAATGAAGTACAAATGCAGCATCCAATCTTCATTCTACATTGGTGATCTAAGAAATATCTATCTCAAAGGCTAATGTTCTCCATCAAGTCCTAAGATATTTGGGTGGTGAAGAGAGATGTATGTGAGCAAAAGCATGAAGTGCTAATAATCTAGTTGAGCCCTTGAATGGTGAGGTCTATGAGGGGATAGAACTTATGTGATTGGGTGGTTGATCGTGTGAAAATCAGTGTGTATTTTCGAAAAAAATACTAAACTCTGGTAGAAACATTCTTCTGGGACTGAAAATAGCTAGGTGATGAACGAATCAATATAAAAGGTTTTACTATTTTTGGTGATAAGAAAAGAACCTTAAGAAAATCAGTCTTGAGAGATTGTAGATTGAAAAAGAGAGAGCTATGAGAGAATCCATGTCAATGCATATGTTGGGAGTTAGAAAATGATAATTGACAAAAGTCAGAAGAAATATAATTCACCCCCTCTTGGTGTTTCACCTAGCCCCTTTTGTACTTAAGGCTTGTACTATTGAGATTGACATAATAGGTGAAGGAAACTTGGTGAAGACTGTAGATCTTCTATACAGTCTCAGAGAGGACTTTGATTGACTTCTCAATATATCCCAACAGAGATAAATTTAGGAACAGGTTGTGAAAGGATTTCTTTATTAAGAAGGTCAAATGAAATCGGTGGATTGCCACTTTATCTATTGTCCTCTTCTTTTGAGGCTAGTTGAAGTCCTTTGCTGTGGTTCATTGCAAATATGTTGAAGTCTAGATTATTTGCATTCACTCTTTGACCTTATAAAAGAGGAAATTTTAGGTCTGAAGATCATTCTGTCTCATTGGTTTTAAAAAAGGTTTATTGTCCATCAGTGGTGAATGAAAACAAGGTAAATAATGATGGATAGCAAAAGAAAGAAATCCTTGAACCACCACCACCCATCAGAGACAGCTGCCAAGCCCATCTCATAACTATGCTACTCTCACTGAGCTGTTGTGTATGGCATAGATAGAAAATAATGTCATTGAAGTTGACATTTTATAAATATTATATTTGTATGGTTAATCCGTTTCTTTACTTTTATCTCCCCACAAATGAACGGAATATATACTTACGTATTTTCGTTGTTTAGCTGAATTGCTGCGTCACCAAAAACGATTTTCTTTCAGTTTTTAGCCTATCGATCTGGTTATTTTAATTGACTTATAAATTAATGTATAAAAATAATTATCATCATAATCATATCTCTCCGTATTTGCTGCATTTCTCTGTTGCTTGCCAGTCATGGTAGAAACGTGCTGGCCCTGTTTTCTCGCTGCAGTCTCTGATGGTACAGTTGTGCCGACAATCAAGAGGAGAAGGCCGACTGTGGACACAGTCCGGTGGTCCAGAGGAGAAAGAACTGACTCGTTCATCTACGCGGACAGTACCTGCCCCCGTCAGCCTCTTCCCGCTCTCCGGGTCGCTGACATAGACAGGTTGCGAGAGGATATGATTATGAGTTTCATTTAATGCTTTCATGTTAAGTTATAGGTTAAATATTACTAATTTTAGAGAGCAATGTATGAAAAATGTAAAATGAAAAAGCCCATAATCTTTTACAACTTCATATTAAAATAACATGTGCTCCGGTATGTTTTTTGTATCCCCTAATCCCATCTTGAGGGATCTAGGAAGGTGGCAGCAGCCTTCGGGGAAATTTGGGAATCGAACCTGGAGGTGGGACGTGACATCACCGGTATGTCGCCGCCGCGGACGAGAAACTTCAGACGACTTTCGGTAATGTGAACATCGGAACAAGACGCGGTAGGTCTGTGGAAAGCTCCAAGCTTCTGCCGCCACAACCGGGCTTCTTCACCGCGATTGAATCGGCAGGCTTCCACGCTAACCCCATTTTACCGTATAAAAGCAGTCTAGCCACCTCGGAGACTGCAGTCTAGCGCGGGGGAAGAGAGATGGCCGGTGTTCCTAGGATGCTCTTCCTTCTTCTTCTAGCTATCACTTCTCAGGGTACGTACACATGCTCTTGGCCTACTCATTCCTACATCTTCCCTCTGAATCTTCGTCCTTAATTCAACCTCTAACAGTCAGTCGTTTCTATTATCGAAAGGCGTTCAGCTTATAATTAGCCCTCACCTCCTTCTGTGGCTTCGTTCTTTCTTTCTGGTTGTGTAGTATCTGGACAGCCATGCATCCAAACCAACCTGCGCACCACCGGAGCACGCCAGGGTTTGGACCTCGAGTTCGAGGTGGAGATCAAGAACGTCTGTACCTGCGCTCAGAGGGGGGTGCGGATTGACGCCCCCGGATTCGCTAGCCAGAAGCTAGTGGAACCCAAAATTTTCCGCCGGGACGGAACCGCCTTCCTTGTCAACGGCGGGAACCCGATCCCCGGCGGTGGCGCTGTGAAGTTCACCTATTGGTGGGATCATGCAGCGCACTTCTCTCTCGCTGGATCACTGCCTGCCTGCTGATGACGTCTGTCCAATACCATGCGTCCATGAGTCCAAACTTACCAGTGCGCCTCCTAAAATAAGCTGTGAGTTCGTTGTTAGTCCGTAGTAAATTGAGGTCCTGGAGTAACGTTGTTCGTAGAAATATTCGGGCGAGATATCGGGTCTTCTCAACATGTGGTCCTTAAGTGGTTATTAATAGTAAATAAACAACGACTTGAATTGGTCCTCGTCGAGATTACGATCCTTGTCCCATTGTGGACGAGTAAAGCCCTTGAAATACCGGCTGATAGCTAAGCTCGTACAAGAAACTATGTGGTTTAAGTTTTCTTCCTTGTACGCAGCTGCAGCTAGACGTTAACTTCTTCGTCGAGTACGGTATCCTTTTAAACTAAAGGCGGGATGTGGTCTCCTCCCTTATCACCCAAGGTCGAATAGTCACGAGGGTCCTCAGAAGCCTCCTGGTACAACCGGCTGGATTTACATGTCTTCATGGAAGGTGCTCTCTGAGTAGGGCAATGCTCATCCCGGTTGGATTTACATGTGTTTGCATGGAAGTTGCTATGTGAGTAGAGCAATTCTAATCAAATTATTATTAGTAGATGTCTTATAATATGGATACGATTTTTAGCGAGATATCTGTAAAGTAAGTCGGCGAATAAAACTAAATCTCCTAAGGAGGGAATAGGTACCTGTTATACCATGGTTGTTGAAGAATGTTTGCGGAAGTACTCGTTACGTTTTAATATCCTACCAATCCATCGGCCCGCGTTGATAGATATGGGCGGACTTTTGACTGAGAGAGATAGGTTTTACGTATGACGTTATAAAAGGCATGGTAACAGACAGATGTACGAAGATTTTGTGGATACAATATCCTCACAAATTCGAGCTTATATACATAGGTCGATATCTCAAAGGGAAAGTCTCTATTAGACTCGTTTTCCTGAAAATTATCAGGTGCCCTAGTTTCTTAGTTTCTTCATAGGAGATTTCCTAAACTCATTTCTTCCTTGCAAGTTTCATTCTTATCCGCCTGAAACAGTATCATGAAACTGTTTGCAGTTTTATTCGAACTTCAATTACTACCGATCAAAGGGGTAGTCAGGAGGGAACACATTCCGAAGTCAGAAAAACAGAGGACGTTGACTGAAAGTCAACGTCAATAAAGGACCTGGATATAGATCGTTACACCACCAAAAACAATAAAAAGCTTCTACGAAGCCATCGTCAATTTTAATACTCTGATGCATTTCCGAAACTTCAGTTTATTTCCATATTGACTTCGAAGCAGTGGGTGGGACTGTATCCGGTCTATTTATATCCCTGGGGTTGTGTTTGTGCCACTATTCCGGATCTACTCGAACGGAGTTCTACACTTCCAGGCCCGTTAACGCCCGTAATATTTGAGCGCTAGTTGATATTTTATCTAAAACAAATCGATATTTAAGAAGGAATGGATTGCAGAAGAAAGGAGTCCCTTTGAGAAATAAGCCTCTGCTAAGAGTTGACGGGTCAATACTTCAATGGTTCGGTTTCCACTTGTAATGTGTCGGCATTAAGAGGAGTCAATCCCCATGTGAGCATAGATCTTCCATCATCCCTACTTTTGGCGCAAGAATATCCGAACTAAATCATTTTCACTGACTGATAAAGCTATTAATGTATAATCTATGCCAAAATATTCACTGAGCCAGTACAATCTCATTTTCGCTTCAAATTGATCACCATGTAATAAGTAGACATGTGGCCCGCTGAGTTTTCAGACAATTAAGGTCCTAGGTGCAGGTAGCCCTGTTGAACTCGTTACTGCCCCTGAGAAAGCCGGCGTAGTTTCAGTGGGAACTAACATGTGAAGAAGTTACTCGGAAGCTTGGCAGAATTTTCTGGCAAGAGATTCATAAGTCATAATGTGAGGAAAGAAGTTACTCGGCGTGGAATAGAGATTTTCGAATGCAAATCGTGAGCTCGGCTACACCAGTGAAAGCAACTGAGAGTCCGGTAAGACACGGGTAGTCCATTCAAGCTGTTTTACATTCTTTTGCGACTACTCATCATCCTTTCTCAGGGTGCGGCCCATTTTCCTTTAGGGGTTATCCATTTGATGTCCCCCTCCTCCCTGATGAACTCGTATTTTCTTATCCCATGGTTTCATTATTTCCTCGTTTTTTTGTGGGTGAATAGAGTAGCCTGGCATCCGTGTCAGTAAGCGCTCCATCAAAGTGCGCCAAGGGCTAGACTTCCAGTTTGAGGTGGAGATCAAGAACGCCTGCGCCCCCTCCGAGGCGAGAGTGAGAATGAACGCCCCTGGGTTCGCTAGCCAGAAGTGGGTGGACCCGAAGATGTTCCGCCAAGACGGCGTCGCCTTAGTCGTCTACGGTGGGAAACCCATCGCCAGCGGCGGCGCCGTGAAGTTCACCTCCTGGTGGACCACCGAACGCGAGTTTGTATTATATATTGCGCGCATAAATGTGTATAACATGCCAAGGACGACCAGGTTGATGAGGTCAAAATGGGTTCTGACGGGAATATTTGCCCCTTTTCCTCTGGTGGAGTTTCTTCAGAGCATTAATAAGGTTATTCGTTTTGTACTACATCTTGTATCTTCGTAATACCTCAACAATCATAAATATAGAATCAACCTACGATTATAAAGAAGAGTCATGGTTTTGATTATATCTGCATATGTTACTGTGTGTGGTGTCCATGTTTAAAATCACAGGTTTGGCCTTATATTAATGGAAATACGGACTTGATGGAGGTAGTTGAACGAAAACTGGGAAAGAAAGTTATCATAGACAACCTGCTGATTCCTGTCACTCTACGAACGGGTAACACAGTAGTCCAGAGAGAGAACTCTTGGAAATGGTTTTCTTGGAAGGGGTCCTCTTGGAAAGGGTCCAAGTGCTTACCAAGTCGTCCTGAGATCGTAGAGGAATAACAGATCGGCGACTCTTTGGATGGTGACTTGCCACAGACTCTGCAGCTGTGGGTCAAAGTCATTAGCGGATGACTCCTTTTGTACCAGGAATAGTCCAAACTCAGCCGCTGGGAAGCCGTCTCCTGCCCTGATTACGATAGTTACGAAATGTCCCTAGGATGAACTCGATGTGAACAGTGACATCCTTGTGAAGTAATTAATAAAATACTTATTTCTTTATGCATCTATCTATATATACATATATACACCTACACGGTGAATAACGAGTATATGATATAGACAGTGTATAATGCACCTAGACATATCTATATCTATATCTATATATATATATATGAATATGAATATATTTCTTTCCTTGAATTTATTATTTTGATAGGATAAAATAGTTATTTGATCTCAATATATCATCACTATTCTAGTGTTTTATTTATGACATTATTCTATTCTAACTACTAATTTTTTCAGAGAAAATCATGACTGAATCAATATAATATTGATATCTTTGTGTCTAAGGAAAATAGCTGCCTGAAAAGAATCCAATTATTTTGACTAACTAAATCACAAATAAATTGGTCTGGTACTGAATGATAAGTAAGGATACTGGCACAATTGATATAGTAAATACAAACTAGTAATTCTGTCTTGGTAGATTACCACTGGAATTGATATAAGAGGTGGATTTCTAAACAGTTATTACAATGAAAAAGAATTCTCTTCTTATATAAAAGTTATAATTTTGAAACGAACGAAATAATGCACTTAAAATGAAAATGGTGCTCACTGAAAGAAACAAGAAACTTGTGATTGCACCCAAAAACTAAGTTTTCATCCTTTTTGCTGTCTACACACTATAAAGAAGTTACTTTTAATAAATCTATATGCTTCAAATTTTCACTTATTCTGAGGGTTCATGGTGATGAAAATTTATCACTAGAAGCATCTGCTCCTCTTAAACATGCTAAATTTATAGCTATTAACCTATAATGATGAGCTCGTATTTAGTCTATATTATCAAGTGGTGTAAAATGATGAATATAGCAATGTAAATGTAAGTCAATGCATTTTGTCTTCCATAAGTGTAGTTCAAGAGAGTAATGAAACTTAAGATGCACTTAAAAGAGTGAACTATATTAAATCTGAATTACTATAAAAGTCTTGGGGGGTTCCTTTGTCTTCAAAATCAGTCTACTCACCAAAATTGAACTAACATAGGTAATTAACTATCCCTATTTATACATGACTTGGACTGAATTTGACTATGTATGTGATAATTGAGAAAGTAAAATTTATTTTTCTATCATCAACATATCTATATATATGTTAAACTATATGATGTCTTTCATTCCAACTAAGAAAAACCTCTCTCTCTCTCTCTCTCTCTTCCTCTCTCACTCTATCTTCAGATGTGATTTTTGATTTTATTTTTAGATCCGATCACAATAAAGAGAAAGTTCTGCAAATATAAAATTTTACTTCTTAAATTATGAGAAATTTATGGTCGTTGATAATGTTCCATTTTCATATGTAAAGTAAAAATAATGTAAATGTCGCATGATTATCATGAAAATGAAATATTTAGGTGAAAATCATGTTTATAAAATTTTATTATTTTTGACATGTTTTTGGTAATTATTTCAATTCGAATTAAGCTTATTGACGTACACAAACAGATTTGTCGATCTTTTCATAAAACATGATTTAGGCATTAAAATGAAAATGTTTAATACTAAAATAAAAATATGAATTCTATGGAGCGCTTCTTATTCTAACCTATTTTGTTTAAGGTTTCACAAACCGTGATAGTATTCACTGGATCTGAGTGATTATTACCTGTAAGTCTTCATGTAGACGAATTTCCAACCTTGTAGTCCTTGAAAAATTTAAATCATTGGAATTAAAAGGTGATTGTATCTTAAGTTATCAGACACACCCATCAGAATGCATTAAAGGGATTTACCATTCCATTTGGCCAAGTTTTCTATTATTTTTTATTAGATAATGATCTTGATGATAACCCTTTTTTTGAAATCTTCAGCTCTCGAGAATGTGTTGAATATTGACATCAATTCTTTCTATGTGGGCTCTTGGCTCACCAAATTGGCTGATGTAGATGGACAAACGTTTTTAAAGCTCTCCTTGCATATCTCTCTTTTCACCTCATTTTCTCCTTCTGTCCCTAGGTGAGGGAAAAGTTCCTATTATAGAGTACATTAATAGTCTTATAACACGTGTAGTAACAGCTCAAAATTTTGAGCTGTTAGATAGTCACTAACAGCCCAAAATTTGACCATCACAAAAAATAGCATCAATCAAAAGCCCTGTTTGAGCGACAGAAGGAGAAGGACAAACTCCGTGGCTCTCAAGAGCGGATGAATCTCGGTTTTAGGAATCAAGGTACAACGGCACTTCGGTCTGGTAGGGCATGCGGTATTTATGCATTGCTGAGGAGTTATAGAGGGACAGAAGAACGTGATAAGCTCTAATGTGGAAGATGACAGGAAACGGAGTCACGGTAACCGCCGCACTTGATGATAGATTGCCTTCACACATAGGCTCTCTTGGAGGATCAGTCAAACCATGTCTGTTTTACTCTATGCAGGTAACCGACAAACGGAGTATGTGATAGAAGAAAAGTGAGTCGAGGATGAACTGAGGCTACGAGGGTGAAGATGAGGAAAACGGCGGCGAGTCGGGCTAGTGGTGAGATGAAGCGATGGCGAGAAGAGTTGCAGCCTTTTGAGGTGATGGCGAGAGGAGCCTGCGGTCTATCGAGTCAGCGGCGAGATGACTCTGCAGCCTATTGAGGAGGTGGGTAGACGAGCTGAGGCGGAGGAGGCGAGGACTGCCTGCTGAGAGGCGGCGCGTTGGAGAAGGGAGAAAGAAAATCTTCGGACCTAATCCTTTAGGGTAGCCCCCTATGGTTATGTTAAGAAAAATATCAAAAAGTAGGAAATTGTCGATATGCTGTCAGACTAAAAGCGTTGAACACCAGTTTATCGCACATCGGTTGAGGCGGTCATAAATGGAGTGCGTCGACAACAAATAACGTTACGCTTATGTAATTCCTTTTAGATTAACCCGATATATTTCCTTGGGTACAAATACGTAGGTATTTATGTACGTAGAGCTGAGAGAAATCCCGAAGCGACATAATACTCTGAAAATATAAATATCCAGGCAGACAGAAAGACAAAGACACTGAGAGAGACAGAGAGGTATCTGCTTAAGTTCAAGTATTACAGGCAGTGTGCTATGGCCGAAGGACGTTCCCAGCCATGGTGGCAACGGGGGCAGATGGCTTGAAGAGTAAAAGACGGAGAACTAGAAAGGAACCCTCTTTTCCAGGAATAAATGTTTCTGCAAATTAACAAAACTGAATTTCCGAGTTTAGGAGGCCAAGGCCCGAGAGGGGAAGACGGGACTGAGTTGAGCATGCGGAAGAAGGGATCGGACGAATTGCCGTACGCCGTCAACAACCAAAGGCATACAACTGTTAATGACGCCAAACAGACAAAAAAACAAAAAGAAGAAAATAGCGAGATTCTAACCGGAGCCTAAACCACGCGGGAGGCAAAGAAATCCTTTCCTAGAGTTTTTATCCTTCACCTTCCTGCTTAGGTTCTAGCTCCTGGGTGGTGCAACATAGTGGCCAGGCGCCAGCCTACTTCGCGGCGATAGCGTGCGTGCTGTCCGTCTGTTGCCCGCTCGCCCGCCTTTGGTGCTTCGTCAAACTTTCGTGCAATATCATCTGGCAAGCTGGCCGACGGTCGACGGAATCTGTTGCCGCAGCTTCCAGCTCAATCGAGGACAGAAGAATTTCCATCTATAATTGGAGGCCACAGGTGGCGTAACCTTCTACATATTTTTCCACACTTGGGGTCTGGTATCGATTCATGATTTGTCATCCTTGAGCCTTTAGAACAATATATCTCAAATGTGATTCAAAGGAACCGTAATAGTGGGTGCATATTTCTTCCCAGTCAACGGATCCCTAGTCTGTCGACGAAGTATCAGCAAATGGAAGAGATTTATGGAGCTTCTACTCAAAACCGTTCTATGGAGGTCTGCCGACTCCATGTTCTTGAGAAAAATTCTGTCACCATGATTATTAGCTATGATGACGAAATCTTTGTGGGTTTCAATGTTTGTATGAAAGAGAAGGCACTAATGAACGAGCAGCCAGCATAATGAGACCCAAGTTGAATCCCCAGCGATGATTACTAGAGTTGGCGTAAACACGGCCTTCAGAATGGAAGATGGTATCTTGAGAATCTTTTAAAAGAAAAACCTCCACTTAAGTATTTTCGTTCATTTCATATTTTGTAATTATTCTTTCCTATAAAACTTGCTCATATTCCATTCCATGAAGCGATTACTTCTTCTATGTTTATATTCGACCCTTTGCGAGGCTACACTTCCCAGCATAGAAATGTAAATTCATGAAGTATATTGAAACTTATAGTGAGCTCTTACTTCAAGGATAATAAAACTCTCTTATGAGAAAACACTAATAAATCGACCTTTGGTCTCCCCTGCTGCCTTCCCCCTACGTAGGTAAATTCTATGCATTTTCCTCCAGACATTGTGTAACACAATCATGTTTGAAGAGACCTATAGAGAAACAAGGGGTCATCTGCAATTAATTCAAGGAGAGGACAAAACCCGATGTATCCAGCTGGTGCCTGCCTTACCAATAGTCACCACAAGAGCAATTGCCCTCCCTGAAGGTGTGGTACCTGTTCACATCTCTGAGAATGATCTCCCTCTCTACGATCCTAGACACCAGTTTGATGACCTCGTGGCAATCCTCGCAGACACGGAGGTTCTTGGTGACCAGGAGCCTCGTCCTCGGAGGCGTGCTTATAAGGCCGAAGGCGATGGCCAGCCGTTCGCTGTGGCAACGGACCATGTCGGCCTTCTCGTCGTCCTCGACATCGTGGAAGACAGGCATGGTGTACGCGACGTAGCCGGTCTTCTTAACCAGCCCTTCAAGAACCTCGAGCTCCGCGTATATCTCCGCCGACCGAGGGTGGGATTTGTCCCCCACGACGAAGGTGTGGACCTCGTTCTTGATCTCGATCCAGCTGCAAGCGATGGCCTTCTTCAGCCCTCTCTCCTTCATCATCTTTCTCATCCTGGTGGCTCCTTCCCAGTTCCCGGCAATGGAGTAGAGGTTAGACAGGATGACGTAGTTCCCGGCATCGTCCGGTTCGAGTTCTATCAGCTTTTGAAGAGCCACCTCGCCAAGCGCAACGTTCCTGTGAATCTTGCACGCGTTGAGCAGAGAGCCCCAGACGCCGGAGTCCGGCCTGATGGGCATCTTCCCGATGAGGTCGTACGCTTTCTCCAGACTCCCGGAGTGGCCGAGGAGATCGATCATGCAGGTGTAATGCTGAATTGTAGGTGTGATCGAGTAATCTTTGGCCATGGAGTTGAACAAGTCCCACCCGAGCTCCAAGAGGCCGCCATGGCGGCAGGCCGAGAGGACCCCGACGAAGGTGATGTGATCGGGAACTAACCATTTTGACCGGCCTTCTTCTTTCATTCTCTCGAACAATTCGAGCGCTTCATAAGCGTAGCCGTGCATGGAGTACCCAGAAATCATTGCGTTCCAGGAGACGACCCTCTTCTCCGTGAGCTGATCAAAGAGAGTCTTCGCAGCCCGGACCCATCCGCCCTTGGCGTACATATCAATGAGGGCAGTCTTAACCTTGTCGTGGGTGTGAAAGCCAACCCTCCAGCTGAAGCCGTGGATCTCTCGCCCCTTAGGCAGCGCTGAGGCATCGGCGGAGGCTGAGATGGCCGTCACCAGCGTCGCCTCTGTTGGCTTAAAGCTGTTGAAAACCATGCCGCGGCACAGGGCCAGCGCCCGCAGAGGGTAGGCGTTGTGAGCATAGGCGGCGATCATGGAGTTCCACAGCACGGCGTCTCTAGCCGGCATTCTGTCGAACACCTCCTGGGCTTCGCTTACGTAGCCGCATTTGGCGAACATATCGATGAGCCCTGCGCCGACGAACACGTCGGTCTGCCACCGGGAACGCATCACCCGGTCGTGGATGCACCTCCCCACCTCTATATTGGAGAGGGCGGAGCAGGCCTTGAGGACAAACGGGAAGGTGAAGTTGTCCGGCTCGAGCCCGCTGTCGAGCATCTGCTGAAAGAGCTCGACAGCCCTCTCATGGGGACCGTCCCAGGCATAACCCCGGATGAGGACGTTCCAGAGGAAGATGTTTCCTTTGGGAATTATGTCGAACAGGGCCTGAGCGTAAGCTAAAGAATGGGAGACGGAGTAGATGTTCACCAGTTTGGTCGCCAAGACGGCGTCGCAACCGAGGCCCGAGACGATGAGATGAGCGTGGAGCTGCTTGCCGGGTTCAATGGCCTTCCGGTTGACGAACGATTGCAGCAGAGAAGAAATGTGAAGGTAGGATTGGCTAAAGCAGGGGCTGGACGACCTTCCCGGAGGCTTCAGTGAGTAAGGACGACGGCCACCAGACAGGAGGTGACCACCGGAGGCAGAGGAGATGATTGGTAGAAGCGAGCCCGTTTTCTGAAAAATGGATGAACATCGCCGGCTCATGGGAGCCAGAGGAATCATCTGCCGGAGAAGTTACAGAGCTCAGGATGGAAACGGCTCCTGCCCATGTCCGTTTCGGGCACTGAGAGAAGGGGCGAGAGTCTATAAGTCAACGTGACGGAGACGAACTCGGTGTCTCCTCCGGCGAGCTTTCAGACGGCTGCCGCCAACAGCATGGACTTTCGCCTCCAGCGAGGCGGAGGAGGCAAATGGGACAAGGGTGGAAAGAGGGACACAGGGTGGCATAGAGAGTGCATCCGAAACCGATGGTGAAAGCATGCGTTGCGAAGAGACCGACCCATCTATCTCTCTCAATTCTGTTTTCAAACTTTAAGTCGGACAGAAAGATATCGAGAGAGAGAGAGAGAGAGAGAGAGAGAGAGAGAGGAGAGAGAGCAAAGAAAGGACGTAGTAATCTCCAATTTTTTCTTCTACTTTATTTAATTTATAGTGATTTTGGAGCCTGATAAAATAGTTTATCACTTTTATATACTTGTTGTTATGTTAATGATAGCAATATTAACTGTTAATAAGGGATAGGAAATTGAATCATTATACAGGCTGCTTAATAAACCTATAGCAAGCGATGTGACGATTGCATCCCATCTTTGATGATTTTGGTGTCACTTGTTTTGTCACAGTAGACACAATCATATGAGCAAGAGGGAGATGATGTAATTAAATAAGTAAAATTATTTGGAGATATAAAATAGTACAAGCTTCATTTTTATAAATTTTATTTTTAACTAATAGTGTATAACTAAATTTACTACTAGTAAGATAAGTAAGATTATTGTTATGTATATGTGGTTTTGATATTTTATTACCGTTATTGGTAACTTTTTCAAGTATGTGTTGATGTTTTGAAACATAGTTAAGATGTGCTTAATTCATTTAATCTTAGGAGGTTAAGTTTTAAAAATAGAATGGAGAATTGGTTCAAGTTTTACCTACCAACAATAGCAAAGAGTACACCCCAAAAGAATTTCAGGATTTTGCCTATAAGAAGAGATAATTTATCATTTAACTAGGTCATATACTACATAGCAGAACATGGTAATCAAAAAAGAAAACATGATACCATTTGAGGGGGCACATTGTATAAGACTATTCCCACGATGTTTAAAGTAATTTTGGGCCAATGTAGCTATTCTGCTTATTTGTGAATTAATGAACAAGTTAGAGGGAGAAGGAGAGAGATAGAGATAGATGAGTAGAAAGACAGAATGAAAGATGGACTACGCTTTCCATAGTGGAGGCCATCAACCATGGTGTTCTATTGTACTCTCTATGCTCCAGTCTTATTTGCTTACTGCCTTCTCTACCTCACTAGAGGCAAATAATGTTCATGATATTGGCAGCAAATGTATGAAAGCTCGCCGAAGGAGACGCCAAGTTACTCTTTGTCACATTAACTTATTGACTCTTCTCCCACCTCTTAGTGTGTGAAATGGTCATGAAATGGACCTGTTTACTTCTAGATCTTTGTGACTTGTATGGTGATTGATTCTTAGGGTTCCCATGAGAAAGTGATGTTCATCCATTTTTCAGAAAATGGCATATGTTCCATCAATTTTATTCTCTACCTTTAGTCAGCATCTCTTATCTAGCCATTATTGTTTCTACCCAATGAAGCTACAATAAGCAACCAAATATTAATGGTTTCTTGTAGGACCCAAGTTTACTATAATGGAAGAATAGTTTTTGGGGATGTTGAGATGTTGAGATGTAGGACTAAATATTTTCTATTGTTGTAAAGAAAATTCATTAAATTTACAATTTATAAATGCTAAAAAATAAGCCAATTTAAAATAATATAATTTTATAAGGGTTTTCTAGATCAAACACAAGGAAGATAAAAAATTAATTAGTTATATTTTTAATTAAAGATTACGACATCAGTTGACATCACCTCATGAAGAACACCCCTAAATTTGAGTTTTATGGAAGAATGAGCAGAGTGGTCGTCGATCAAATTTCTACCTGAATTCGATCGATTTGTTCATGAGCAGTGCATTCAATGGATTCCTATACAATCCACAATAAATGAATAACGATCTCAACAATTGTCACTTGCTAGAATTGATTGAGCATTTGTGACATCTAGAGCATGACCTTGAAAGAATTTTTTTGCCCTTTGTATTAGGAGAAAAATGGTACAAGTTCATGAATGAATTTAAGTTTCTGTAGCAATTGAATTAGGGACAAATCGAGATGAAATCTATCATTTGTATCAGATGAATGATTTAGGTGAATCTGATGTTTGTTGCCATTAGAGGAGAGGGAAAATAGCTATGGGGAGCAATAGATTGATCAAAGATGGTCCATTCTTCCTCTCTTAGCATTTTTCTATCATCTTCTTGTGTATTACTTTTGTCGATTTTGTCGAATCATCCACTATATTTCTTATTGTATTCTAATTTTATTATTATTATATTACTATTTATTGTAATAAGCTTAGTAAAATATAGGGAAAATTTAAAAATAAATACAATTAGCATAGAAGTATTTTGATAATAATAGTAATCATTGGTAAAATCTATCAAATTATTTCATAGTCAATTTCATCATCTAATTTCTCAAACTTAACAAGATAATTACATAAATAAGTTTAATATCATTTTTTCTAGATTAAAGTAATTCACAAATATTTATGAAAAATTAAATAATAAATTATAAAATATTAAAAATGTAATTATTTAATTAATGAGAGTCATCAGTGATTAAAATAAGAAGAGAGAGAGAGAGAGAGAACTAGTGTGTGACTATTATAGATAACAATAGAGTGATGTTACTAGAAGACAAATTCTTCTACTACATCTTAGAAGGCCCAACCAAGATCCTCTTATTATAATATGATGAATCCATCCCAAACTTAATAAAGACAACAAATTAAAACTACCTAACAACTTTGAGAGAAATAGCAAGGGAGCTATTAAAGCTAAATTTTAGTGTTTTAATTAGTTTTATTATTTTATTTTATTTTTTTAACTTGTAGAATAAATATAGGAATATATTTTTATTTTTAAAAGTTTTAGTTAAAATATTTAGCATAATTTTTGATTATTTATAAAAAATAAAAGATAAAAATATCACGGCTCATTGGCAAGCCAACACTTGGGCAGCTAACTTGGAGGGGAGCTGCAGTTGAGTAGGTAGACCTAAATTGGGGGAGGCATGAGCTGGGCTCAAGTGGTGAGGGACTACTTCGTGCATGTGTGCATCACTCCCTTGTCACATCTAGTGGCCAATCGGTTGTGGAGCAAGGAGTGTCGTACACACGTGTGTACAACGATGGACCACCTTTTTACCTTTTCCCAAGATGATCCTAGGTGTTATCTTATTTTGGGAGAAGGGATCTTTGCTGAGGGAATGTAACTTTGATTTATATTCAGGTTAGTTGCTGAAATATTTCCGATATGGGACTAAAGTTTCTCATGTGTTTTAGGCTAGTTGTCTAGAGCATGGTGTCCAACGACATTTAGCAAGCCACATCATTAGATGAGCCAGATCTTGTAGTGGACGAGACACCACGATACTAGATGCGTAAAGCAATCTATCGACAGTTCATGAATTCGAAGCCACTTAATATGCACATGGTCATAAATGATGATCTAATGGCTAAGGAGGTGCCATGATACCAAGGACTAAAGTTCCCGGTTGGCAGCGGTTCATGGCAGGTTGATCCTACATCGCTCAACGCGCCACATGACTAAGCACATATGATCTAGTAGCTCACAAAGTGTCACAATATTAGGAACTTAAGTTCTCACACGTATCACTATTAGGGATATAAAGATAATAATTAATTATCATCTGGTAAAATTTATATTATTGATTATCTTTAAAATCTTAAAGATAGTCACAAATATGGCAATCCGTTTCCTCCCTCCTTTCATGCGATCAACACCTTTGGCAATCAATGAGCTCATTCCTTCCTCTCCTAACTGCACTCAAGGCCTCTAGTGAGTGGTCAGCTCTTCCCTTCTCCTTTCATACAATGGTGACAATGTAGTTGATCCTTCTTTTTAGTAGATCTCTCTGGCAAATGGCATAGCATTTTCAGATGATACTTTTGCGACTTCTAGTACTATGATGTGGCACACTTGGATGAAACTAAGCCACCACACTAGTGTCTTCAATTGCCCAAGAAGTAGACTAAATTTGGGCAATGATTTATTTCCTACTTTTGTTATTTATTTACGTGTTTTCAATATTTATTTATATTTTATGGCAAATTATTTCCATTTCATACATATTTCGATTGTAATGAGTAGAACTAATTTAAAACTTGATGAATAATCTTTGTTCTTCTTTTGAATCCTCTTAAACTTGTTTGAGATCATGCTAAGATTATTTTTAACTTGTCTTCCATTAATTTTTATAATTAAATCTTGATATAATCGTGTTCTCGGCATTCTACACATAATAAGTATCTTTTTATTTTCAAACGCGAAACCAATGAGATTAAAGGCTGATTAATGAGCATTGATTTATTCAAACAAGGTGGGGATATTCATGACTGACATTATGTCATGTGTGTGAATTCTCAAGCACACATTCATTCGAGAATCATGGTCACTGTAAAAATGACTTGATCGTGTTTCTCTCTTTCTTGATTATCATCTTATTTCTCTCTCTCCCATCTTGTGAGACCTTTTCTTCTCTCTTTGTCTCTTGTGAGATCTCCCTCTCTCTTTCTCTCTCTCTATCTCATGTGAGATTTTTCTCTCTCTCTCTCAATTGATTTATCGCTCTTTCTACCCATCAATCAATCTTGCTCTCTCTCGTGAGATGTTTCTCTCTCTGTCTCATGTGAGATTTCTCTCTCTTTTGCAAGAGATCTCATCCCTTCTTTCTCTTGTGAGAGCTTTCTCTTCTCTCTTTCTTTTCTCTATTTCTCTTCTTTTATTCTTTTCACCTCACCATCCTATTTTTTTATTTCTATTTAATAGTAATAAAATATTAAAATCACTCTATATATATACTAAATTAGTTTTTAC